CCCGCAGAGCAGCGGGTGACCGCAACAGCACTCGGGCACGCACGGCGCGGTTTCCGCAAGGAGCACACAGACACACGGAGGAAGCAGTAAAATCAAAAGTATGGGGGGCGAGCACATTGCCCAAACAAAAAAAAGAACACACAAAAAAAACAATCGCGCCCCAAAAAAAACGAAAACAAAGAAAAGCCCAACAATGATAGAAAAGATAGAAATGAGGCTGACGCAGTCCAAATCCCCCTGTGCGCCCAACGCAACCCTTGTCGCACGCAACAGGGGCGTCGCCGCGTCCACAGCAGGGCATCGGCGCAAACAGCGAAAGGATTTATTCCAGTTACTAAGGGAAGGTTCCCCACAGGACGTTCTTCGGCGCAAAGGTGTGGAGCGCAGTCTGCGTGTCTTCAACTCTCGCCTCAGAGCACGGCAAGGCGCGCCATCATGGCGAGGCTCAGCACAAGCGGCGCACGCACCCACGCAGTCCTCTCACCGGCGTCCGCACCATGGCCGAACGACCACATTGGGAGCAGCCTGGCCTGCGCCCTCGAGACGGCGTTCATCATCGGCTTTACGTGTGACGTCATTTGTCACGGTAACGGTGCCGTTCAGCACATTTCTCTCACCGGCGGCCAAAGCCATCTCCAACCGCGTGCTGTACGCGTCTTGAGAGGCCTCGCTCTGCCCACCCGGCTGCGCTGCCGCTGCCGCATCCGGGGCGGCGCCAGCGCTTCGCGTGCCGACAGCGGCTTCCTGCGGCCGGGCCCCAACTGCAGCGGCATCAGCACCAGCGCCCCCTGCCGGCGGCACCTCCTCGGCGTCACCCTCGCGTGGTGATGCGTCGGGGGCCACGGCTGCCCTTTCCCCCGGCCCCGCGGGCGCCAAGTCCATTTCCTCCTCCTCCTCCTCAGGGTCCTCGCGATTCGAATAGTATGAGAAGGTCCAGCGCCCCGTATCATCCGGGAACTTTTTCTTTAGGCTTTGGCACATGGGCTCAAAAAAGGCGCAGGAGTCGCGTTCCGCATGCTCCTCGCACCTTGTCAGGGCGGTTTCATCCTCGTACCGCACAAGCGTCGTGCCGTCCTCCTTGCACGACACCTTAAGCATTCGTTGCTGTGCCTCGGAAGCCGCCATGCACGCAGCCGCGCAGCACAGCGTGAGGGCCAACACGGCGAACAGCACGTGGCGCACGGCCTTCATTCGTGTCGTCTTGGAGTCGCCTGGGTATGTGTGTGGGTGGGTGGGTGGCCTCGCTGGTCTGCGTGGGGACGGGGGGAAGAAGACAAAGGTGCACAAAAGAGAGAAACACGGCCGGCACGGCTCGCCGCACACAGACACGCCCGCATAGCAGCGGGTGGCCGCAACAGCACTCGGGCACGCACGGCGCGGTTCCCGCAAGGAGCACACAGACACACGGAGGAAGCAGTAAAATCAAAAGTATGGGGGGCGAGCACATTGCCCCAA